TTTAAGTTATACAGTGTATTTTTATAATACTGAAGGTAACAGTTGTGCTATAAAATGCCCTGAAAGTGTATAATACTGCTACCCCTTTAAGGAATTATTGACTTAAAAAGAGCTCCCATTTCTTGCTGTAAGTTAGTTTTGTCTTACTTCAAATCAACTATGATCTCTTCACTAGAAACTAAACCAAAACTACTTGGTAAGAGCTTGTGTTTTTGCAGTGTAGAGATATCCCCAGAGGGCTCAATTAAGATCCAACAACAAACAGAGCAAAGCACAGCCTCTCATTATATAAGTCTGACACTACATATGCCACTGGAATGCTTGATGGTCCTCTGTGTTTGGATATTTTGCAATTGCTCCACAAAACAGTTACTGTTTGTTTAAAATCTGGAATCAGGGTGCAATAATAGAATCATTTCATTTTTTCTTTCTTTTTTTAAATGCTGCATTGTTACATTCTAAGCTGGTTGCTGAAAAATAATCTGAAAACTGCGTTCTATGCTGTATGACTGTTGGAGCTCCCACATGAAATATTTGTCACTTTTAGATGCTCACAGTTCCCCCCAGGGCATCATCCCACTGATAAACTGCATATCTGGCTTATGTAACAGTATTAAAAATGCTTCTGTTGAAAACATAATTTCCTAAAAAAGAAAAAAATAGATAAAAAAAAAACCACTGCATCCTCCCTAAAAATGAACCATTCCAACATTCAGTCGGATTCAGATGTAAATTGTGTTCTGCATTCATTTGCAGCTGCAGATAAACGATGACATCCAGACTTCTGGATGATGCACATGCGTAATCAGCTTAGCATGTGTTAAGGTGGCACAACACGAAAGATAGAGTGCTTCTTTTTTTAGTTGCCCCCTATCTATAAAGTGCATGCTTTCGAGTGTTACAATCCTGAACTGTTATCTTATTTATTCCGACACGTTGAAGTCACGCTTTTAAATCTCCCCGGTGTTCCAGCAGCACTGTGTGCACTTCACCGCTGACAGAAGTGTTGGAATATTTCAACTGTAACGTATAAGAACCTTGACTTTTGAAGGTTTCCTGAGCGTGGGGTCCTCACCTCGTCAGGTTGGGGTCCCACACCACCACATCGGCGTCTGAGTTTTTGGCGATGCGGCCTTTCTGCGGGTAAAAGTTGAAGATTTTTGCTGCGTTGCTGCTTGTGACGGCCACGAATCGATTCTCGTCCATTTTCCCGCTGTGCTAAAGGTATGGAAGGACAGGGGGAAGAACGTGAGGGGCCCACGGCGAATGACAACAATATATGGAATTAGCACACAATAGGTCAGCACTTAACTTTGCAAGCGGCAGCCCTCTCGTGCCAAAATATCATCTATAATTTGTGATTTGTAAGCACTGTTGCTTGTAGTAAATCTTTCTAGCCTGGCTGAAAACACTCCCCACAGCAACAGCAGGAGAACGCAGCGTCAGCAACTCTGCAGCAAATCTGCTGCTTTGTGACTATTACATTTTCTGATTGCGATGCAGAAAAAAAACAGAAATGTGCTTTTAACATTACTGTATGCAAAGAATACACACACACACACGCAAATTTGCATTTCTACCGCTATTAGGACTTTGCTTTGACTTCCATTTATTTTACGAACTGCATTTATGCCTAACGGACATTTTTCCTAGTCATTACTAGTCTATTGCTAACCCTAACCTTACCCACAACTTAATTCACACTGTACCTCTAAACTTAACAAGCAGAAGACAGTAGAACTGCATAACTAGTGAGGACCCTGAAAATGTCCTCACTTCCACAAATGACCTCAATTTGTCGGTGAAAATGGGAAAAGTGGTTCCCGATATGCAGTATATGCAAGCACACCCACACACACACCCACACAGAGTATCTATCCATCTTCACAGGGACTTTATATTTGCTTCCATTCATTATTTATCAATTTCTATGGATTAACGCCAACCCTAAACCTAACCTGAACTCAATTTACATTAGCCCAAAAACATCACCCCACACATAATATGTTTGGTAGAATGTTCCTTACAGTGTATCAAATACAAAGCCACACACAGAGATAGGTGGCTGTGGTTGTGACTATGTACATTTTGAGATTAGAGTTCCTTTTTTTCCCCGTCACTTCACCATGGTGGAGTTGCATTTTAAATACATAGTTGCATACATATATTACATACATAGCTCTTATTCTGACACACAAGTGAACAATGGAGAGTAACACAGACTGTCATTCTGCACTGGATGCTCCTAAATAAGGACAGCGTTCTTGAAAGCATATACATGCCACTTGAATTTTTTTCACATTTTTCCCTTTACAACCATTTTCCCATTACAACCAAACAACCAATTTTAAATTTATTTAAATTTTTAAAGAGGTGTCATGTGATACAACACAATGTAGTGCATAGTGTAGAAATGGAAGCAGTTTGGTTCAGGTTAGACGGTAAGCTTAAATCTGTTTATTGTTTTGTCTCTGAGCTGTTTAGTGTCTCACACAGAGCAGATGTTTGATGCAGACCTACCACTCCTCTCTCCCAGATGACAGACATCCTGTCCTCCACTCCATTCACTCCGTTCGGGATCTTGGTGAAGTCGTCTTTGCCCAGGGCCTTCTGGCACACAGAAAAGGTGCAGTTGTCCGTTCCCGTCACACTCAAATCATCACTAAACACAAAATTATAAAATAAAAACTTTCATATTTTAAATCTGCTAAATTCTCAACCTAGAGGTATGACTGTTAAAAATTAAATAGTAAAAAACTGAGATATTGTGAAAGAATTCCATACCTTTAGAAAGTGAAACTCTCAATTTATATAGATTGATTACATATGGCGATATATTTCAAGTTTTTATTTCTCATCATTCTGATCATTACAGTTTGCAGGGAATGATCACCTGAAATTCTCTCTCAAAATTTTGATATTGTGAAAAAAGTTAAATATAAATCTTGGTATCGCACCTTAATCAGCTAGTGCACCTTCAATGCACTGAGAAAAAAAAACTGGCAATCCAACTACAAAAATTTGTAAATTTGTTCCAAGCAACCAAATCAAGTTCATCCAAGTAAATATATTATGTTTAATAAATTGTAATGTTAAACAAATGTAAATGAAGTATATTTGTCAGACTTGATTTGTTATATATAATCAAATTAACTCAACTTTTTTTTAAGTTGGAGCTCCATTATCTTGTTTCAGTCTGGGTCAGTTGGCTACAGTCTTCAGTACTCCAAGAGCCACTAAGCACAGATGAATTCTATATTTGGGCTACAAGTGTCTTACCTGGGTTAAGGAGAAAAAAAATGGAGCTATTGGTCACTGGTCCAATGTGAGCTTTTTACATGAAAGTGAAATTTGCATTTCATTTGGAAATCTAGTTCCTGGACTTCCATTACCTCTCAGCAGAACAAGCTAATCGCCTCCGTGCCACGCCACAATGATGCAGCAATTATGTAATACATAAGTTTCATTTCCTGAAATGAGTGTCAAGAAATATCAAACTTTTTCACAATATTGTAATTTCTTTAAGATGCACCTATATGCTACATGCTAAATTGCTTGGCACATTTTGTGTTTATGTCCACCTACTTGGCCAAGAGGTCCATGAGGTACGCTAGGGTGCTGGGATCAGGTCTAAGAGGAGGACCCATGACAAAACCAGCAGCATGGGCCCAGTCTTTGTGCCAGTAGTGGGTCCCATCAGTGCCTAAACCAGCTGCAATTGGCTCCCCGAACACCACACGGCCTATAAAACGGTCAACAAATAAAAAAAAAGACACATTTCAATTACAACAAGGCATAATTTATTCGCATTTTCTATTTGAGCTCTTTGTCATCATCAGATCTGTGGATCGGATTATGATTATGATCAGATCTCCACCCCAGCTAGAGCTGTGAGTCAGTTTGTTCATATCATATCGTACACAGATTAGCGTTTTGTCCACACTCCATGTCAGTAGATAACAGAAATGCTCCTTTTGTTGTTTTACAGCTGACATAAATATTTTGTTTTAGTGTTGATTTTTTTTTCCAAGTTTATTATTTTAAAACAGGACATTACATGTTAATTAACATTCACATGAAAATACATGAGATCATAGCCAACTGGCTAATTTCCATCATTAGTCCCATTGGCAGGTTTTTGTATATTATGTTAAATTAGAAAAAGCAGGCTTAGACTACTACACAAATTAAAAAAAAAAAAAAAAAAAACTCTTTAAAACGGGGAAAAGGGGGTAACTGTAAGGTATAATGGTTCAATAATTTTCCCTTTAGGCTGATAAGTTGAATAGTGTTAGTATAAAGGCACTAAAAATTGCTGCATACAGTGACTAAAAATATTTGAAAAAATAAAGTTTTCATGACTAGACAAATTGGTGTCCTAGACCACTGTCACAAACAAACCTTCTTCATAATGTTAACTAAAATGGCGAGGGAGAGAGAAGTAGCTCAGTGATGCTAGCTTGACTTTGACAACCTTAACATGTAGATGTGCTGCAGAATTTGTTTCGGTTCAGCTAAAAAAAACAAAGAAATTAAGGTGACCCACATACCAACTCTGAGAGATCATCAGTAGAACAGGCGTTTAAATTAGCTAATTAACCACCGCTGTGATCAGAAGATCACTTATTAATAACAAAATAAACATGAAGCCTGAAAACATGATGATGTAAAGGAGTGAATGTTCTCTTCTAAGTGTGAAATGTTTTCATGTTTTTTAGAGATGAATTTTGATGCTGCTATGGTAGCAAGTTTGTGTGTAGCGTAGCCGACACAGAAAGCATTGTTGTGCGCATCTGCAAAATTTCTGGATGCAAAGAATAACATGCACCATATATGGTATGCGGCCCCTGCCTGGTCTAGACATGCCCCTGGCCCCCCACTCACCATCCCTGCGTGCATCAGCCACCACCTTGGCAGCAGATTTGCTCATGACATGGACCACGTAGAGGGGGCAGTTGACAACGTGGGCAATGGTGATCGCTCGCTGCGTGGCCTCGGCCTCCACCTCCTCTGGCCGGCAGAGTTCATGACCTTCAGGCCCCCTGATTCCCATGGACAGCATCTTTTTGGCCCCCTGGGGGGTCCCAGCATAGAACGGACACAACAAAGGCAGGATGAAGTGCAAAAGAAAAGTAGGGCCTTCTAAAAGTGTTTATACCCCAGGAGCTTTGGCTCATACTATGTCCAACCACAAACCTTTATGTTCTTCGTTAGGATTTTATGTGGCAGATCAACACAATGTAGAGCATAAATGTAAAGTGGAAGAAAATGTTGCATAATTTTTTTTTTTTTTGTGTGTGTTCGGCCCCAGTTACTCTGGTATCCCTAATACACAAACCCAATGCAACCAAAAGTCACTAAATTAGTGATTGGACCCAGGTTAAGTGTAATTTGAAGTCTTAATAAAACTGTAACCATTTTCCTTCTGATTCACAACAAATTTGTGTTTTTTCTGTCAGATTAAATTCTAATAAAACACATTGAAGTCTGTTGTTTGTGGAGAAATCAAAGTAACTGGCACTTTAATTTTTTTTCATTACAAAAAGTATAGCATGAATAAGGGTGTACAGAAAATGGATGGATGGAATAAGAATTTTGGATTTAAAATTCAAATTCCTAAAGACTATTAATTATAAAAGCTCATCAAAATTCTGCTCAGCAGCAAAAAATATTTCCTCTTCACCGTTATACAGGCAGCTTCTCTAGCATTTGCTTCCTCCTAGTGGTGATTTGATTAAAAAACAGGATCCAAACGACCCTGTTCAGATCTATTTAACAAGATGCAGGTTCTGATGCAAATTAGTTTTCTCTCAAAGTGATGAAGTTGGAATAAAGTCAGTTGAAATGTCTTTTAATGACCGAAAGAAAAAATGACTTGGAGAATTTTTATTTAGCTGTTTTTCTGGGTGCTTTTATTGTTTGTGTATCCTTTCATGCAGAAGATTCAATGCAATGCAGAAATCAGACTTTTGTGAATTTAGCTAAATTTTCCACTGTAGTTTCTACCCTTGTTTTCTCTACAGTTGAAACCATTAAGGTCAAACATTAACTCACAGCTACATCTGGCCTTGCATGTATGACATTGGACATATTAGGACCATTGTAGATGGAGGAAAAAAAAGAGGAGTAAATGCAGAAATATTTAGATTAATCTCAGAAAGGTCCTAAAAATATACAAAGAAATTTTTGAGCTTGAAAAGTTAAAAACTGGTCAAACTTTTGACTTTTCTAACTTGGGAATTTCTTTTTCTTTCTTTTGTTTTTAAGAGTGAAAACACTGTTTTTATTTTACGAGAAACTGCCTTTAAAAATTGGACAAAAATCCCCTATAAAAATAATTGGAACAGGAAAATACTAGAACTTCTTGGAACAAATGGCAATTTTTAAGAATGATACAAACCTCTGCGATCAAATCCCCATTTTCAGCATGCACTTGAGCTATAGCTCCAATCTCTTTACATTGGGCGAAGGCGGCGTATAGCTCAGAGTCCTGAAGCATAAACACATCCTTATAGGCCATGAACATCTTGAAGGAGTTCACTCCTTTTTCTTTGGCCAGAGTTTCCATCTCTTTCTTGACCTGCATTTTATTTAAAAGAAATACAACAGCTCAGAGCAAGCAGCAGAACATTTGGAATTTTGCCTCTTTTGACAAAAAGTAATGCATCAGCAGGAGTCTGTGCCTTCACCTCATCACTCCACCACGTGACGGCGACATGCAGAGAGTAGTCACAGCAAACTTTGGCATCGGCTGTCCTACGCCAAGCGTCATAGGCCTCCAGGAGAGACTTCCCCTTTTGGGGGATGACGAAGTCCAAGATCATTGTGGTCCCTCCAGCCAGAGCGGCCTGAGGAGAGGCAAAAGTTACCACAGAGGAGGAAGTTGGTGAACAAGAATAGCTATACTCAAGAGATGCATCGGTCACAAATATCTGATCCCTTCACTTTGTTCTGCCGGGCATCTGATACTGGAAAAGAAACAATCTGACCCTTTGTATGTCTCATCACATTCCTTAGAGCGCAGTCCACTCCACCATGAGAGACCTTAAAGCAACCTATGTGCGTGTTGACGCCTGTAAAGCTCGTCAACAGACAGTTGGTAGCCTATTGTCGCTTTTATTTAGTTGGTTTCACTGTAAAAATAGTCGCATAGTGTTTGCGTGGTCGGCTGCACAGACGAGGATGGAAACCAAACTTATTCCAACGTAAACATTTCTTTGAGGAAAGAAGAGGATAGCAGCCATTAATCAGAAAGACTGACAGACATTAGACTCTTTGGTGATTTGAAGTAAACCGTTTTTACAGGTCAAGAAGGTTAACGTTCATATATTTCATAAGTGAGCTTGGTAAGATCCAATCAAATGTTGCATTATAGAAAAGGTACACATCTAATCATTAGTATCCATGGAGAAAATGCTCCAACATCATGTAGCCTTCCATGTACAAACAAAACTGGTTAACATCAAGACTTTTGTATGCTTTTAAGTCTGCTCCAGTGTAAGATAAAACCCTGTTTATTATGTAGTGGTATAAATCATGTAGCACAAACTCAGTGAGTTTGTTGAGGAAAGCGAAGGTATGGGTCTGTTTCTAAGCTAGCTACTTCCAACTTTTGTAAATTGTAACAAAAATTGTGTTTAAACCGTCATATTGTGACAGTATAATATGAGACATAATTTGTGAAAAGATCGAGCTCCTCCACTTCCTCCCAGCACTACTATTACCGTCTGAAGAAAAGCAGCGGTCCAGGTCTTGGCGACATGTGCATGCTGCTAAATATGCTAATGGGAAACAAACAGCTCACCCTTCCAGGAAAACTGTTTATCCTCTGTTGTTGGTAGCCATGCTAGCTAGCCTTAGCATTTATAGCAGACCCTACACTGGTAAATTAGTTGTTGCATAGCACAGATGAAGGGGAAAAGGGTAAGCAGCATATACATGAGAGGATTGACAGCACTAAGACCCTCCTCTTGGCTCTGATTGGTTGTTCCTGACAGAGCTGTGTATTGGTGCAGCAAGACCATAAAGGGGAAGGCAAGGAAGCTTTATTTATTTATTTATTTTTATTCTGATTACTTGTTTCATATTATAATATCACAACATAGTGATAGTTTGAACAAATATATTTAAAAAAACTAATTATAAAAGATTTTTTTAATAAAATTTACATATTGTAGTTATAAGGAGGAACTGAGTTTTTTGCATGCCCAACTTTATTTCTCTGGCTGTGTGTAATAATGAGCCAATACTGCACCTTGGTCCCAATGTGGAAATCGTCCACAGCCTTGGTCCCCATGAACGCCAGCTCCATGTGTGTGTGCGTGTCTATCCCGCCCGGGATCACCAGCTTGTCTGTGGCGTTAATCACCCGCACTCCGGCTGGGATCTGCAGGTTCGGCCCAACTTCCACTATTTTCCCATTTTCGATGTAAACGTCGCTGATGACGGAACAGTCCTCGTTTACAACTTTCCCCCCTTTGATCAGGATCCTGCTGGGTTCTGCCATTCCTGCTGCGGGCGGCTAGCTGCTGCTGCTGCTGCTGCTGCTGCTGCTGCTGCTGCTGCTGCTGCTCAGCGTTTGTAATGAGCAGCGGGGACAGGGTTTGTGCAAACTGAACTCTGCTCTGTTCCGGTTGTGTGCATAAAGGTGAAAGTTCACCTGTCGGCTCCACACTCTGCAGGAGACGTGTTCAGAGGTGCTCGCAAAGGGAGGCGTGTTAAACATTGGAACTACAGTTTTATCTAATGCAACAAAAGTGATATATTTTCTTTAACTTCCATAAGTCCATACATCTTTCCATAAGTCAATGTATTTTAATCAGTTATGCATGATGCACATCTATATATTCATTGACCTAATGCAGTTAATCTCCTTTCCGAATTTCTAAAATGCTTCTTGAAATGTATTTTTTAAAATGTGTCCATATCACTTTATCTAAGCATTAATCTCTTAAGCAGAGTTCTGGACACGCATTGAGTCAGTCTGTTCCTCCTCAGCCTGGTTTGACTTTTATAAGGAACTTATTAAAGACAGGATGTTATGACAAGGTGAGAGCGAGGCCAGCATTCTTCTCCTATTCCAAATTCCAAAGTCGTACCGCTGTAAACCAGTAACCAGGATTTGTTTTTAGTCCACTTGTTTCAGGATCAGCTCCCTTGTGTTTGTTGATTAATCAATCAAACGTCATTTTACGCTCATCAGGCCGTGTCCAACTTTTGGTTTCCTGCAATTCATCAACGATCATACCACCAGTCAATGTGAAATGGTGAAAACAACTTAACTAGGAACATATACTATTTGTAATGCTTGCTTATTTAATGCATCTAAACCAGAAAATAAAAATAACTTTATTATTTCACGTTGTTCCTCAGCGAACTTTAAAACAATCATTACCTGGTTGGTGTCGGGACGTCTGGGGAACTACTGAAATTAGAAAGTACGATAGTGGGTCATTAGGGGTCTAATAATTAACTTTTCCAATTCAGCCCCTCTGGAGGTTGAGTTCCTCTGTGTGTGTGTGTGTGTGTGTGTGACCTCAAGCAGCCGTTGTCAACACTGCTGTTGCATCTAGCAGCCAAAAAAAAAAACAATCTTGCACAGTAAAGCCATTGAACGTACTTTTATTTGACCGCTTACCTGGTAAAGTTTTAAGGCTTATTTATGGAATATTTCACACTAAAATATTCAACTTGTTTAATGATGTTTAATTGCTGAAATAAGACAAAGCAAATATTATCAAAATAAAGATGGAAAAAAAATGAATTCAACTGCTGACAGCCTGACTGGCAGAAACTCATTGTCTCGTATTTTACAGGGACTACTCCCTCACACACAGTGTGACATCACCTCTACTTTATGATGCAGGCAATTAATTAAGAAGGCAAGAATTAAACATTTCTAACACTGTTATGACTTTTTATTTTTTCTCTGTTTTCGTAAAAGGCGTAACGGGTCCAGAAATGTCTGGAGACGGGATAGGTTCAGAACATATCCGCATTAAAAATCTTTATTATTAT